AAAAAAAAAAAAAATACGCAATTATTCATTTTTGGTCAGCTGTCTACATTTGCTACAGAAGTTACACGAGTATCGCTTGAAGTAGGAACAGAAGGCAAACTGGGTGGTCAAGCCGTTGTGAAGGACGTCGGAGGTACATGGAAAGATCTGACAGACAATGTCAATATGATGGCCTCCAAGATTACAGATCAAGTTCGTGATATTGCTGCTGTAGCTAAAGCAGTGGCTGAAGGTGATCTTTCAAAGAAAGTAACGGCTAATGCTCAGGGCGAAGTCTTGGAACTAAAAAATACTATGAATCGAATGGTAAGCTTTATTCTATCATCATTTCTTTATCTCACTCTTTCTTTACTAAAGGTTGATCAGCTCACAAACTTTTCTGCAGAAGTCAGCCGAGTCTCGCTTGAAGTAGGAGTTGAAGGCAAACTCGGTGGACAAGCCGTGGTAAAGAACGTTGGAGGTGCGTGGAAGGACTTGACTGACAATGTCAACATCATGGCTGCCAACCTCACAACACAAGTTCGATCCATCGCTGAGGTGACTAAGGCGGTCGCTTTAGGAGATCTGTCTAAAAAGATCGACGTCGAAACACGTGGTGAAATTCTCGACCTTAAGAATACGGTAAATGACATGGTCAGCCAGCTCCGTGTGTTTGCTTCCGAAGTTACACGTGTTGCCAAAGAAGTTGGTACAGAGGGTAAGCTAGGAGGTCAAGCCAAGGTGCCGAATGTCGATGGTACATGGAAAGATTTGACAGATAATGTTAATACGATGGCCTCAAATCTTACAACTCAAGTACGATCTATTAAGGTGGTCACTAAAGCCGTTGCCCTTGGTGATCTCTCTAAAAAGATCGAAGTCGAATCGGGTGGCGAAATTTCAGAACTCAAAAATATTGTCAATGATATGGTGGATCAGCTCCGTGTATTTGCATCTGAAGTCACGCGTGTGGCGCGTGAAGTTGGTACCGAGGGCAAGCTTGGTGGTGAGGCGTTCGTGCCCAATGTTAGTGGTACTTGGAAGGGGCTTACCGATAATGTGAATACAATGGCTGCCAATTTAACAACACAAGTCAGATCTATTGCCGAAGTGACCAAGGCTGTAGCCAAGGGTGATCTTTCCAAGAAAATTCATGTAGAAACTAGTGGTGAAATTCTTGACTTGAAAAATACGGTCAATAGTATGGTTGATCAACTAAATGTGTTTGCTTCTGAGGTTACGCGTGTTGCCAAGGAAGTGGGCACAGAAGGAAAGCTTGGAGGACAAGCATTTGTGCCTAATGTCG